GCAAGTTAGATCTGGTGTCATTACGACTTAAGAAATGATAGATCATAACATTTTTTAAATTGTAAAATACCCTTTTGAATGAATTGGTTTTCTCTCTATATAAAGAATTTTAAAATTTTTGCTTTTTTTCTTAACAAATTTAAGAAAAACATGCAAAACAAAATGAAGATAATAACTAGATACAATTAAAATAACAACAGTTATTAAGAGTAAATCAAAAAATAGAAGAATATTATTTAATTTCAAAACAAACTTACTTATTCAATATAGGAAATATAAGAGGTAAGACCACAAGTCTTCCCTCTTACCATATCTTTTCGAACATCCAATAAAATGGTAAAGATCTATCTATCCCTTAACATATAAGTAACTTCTTCAAACAAAATATAACAACAAAACAACAATTAAAAAAACAAAGCCCTCCATGGGGCATAGACTCGATCAAGTCACATATAGAATGTTGACGACTATTTTTCACTTAATGAGTGAATGAGAGAGGGAAGCAAGGCTTAGTGAGAGCTTTATAAGGCCAACCACTACATAAGACGCTTTAATTTTGTTTATCAATTGGCATTCTAAAGCGACATAAGGGACAAACATGATTTTTTTCAAGCCATTGAATAATGCAATCTCCATGAAAAACATGCTTGCAAGCATACGAGTTAGTTCAACAATGTCCTTTGTAATCAACTTGCCAAGACATATCATACCAGTTTCACCAAAACCCTTGTCACCATTCAATGTCTCTATTTTCACCTTCTCAAGCCCTTCAATAGCATCCTTTGATGTTGGAATTACAGGCGCAAACACACGAGTTTCTTCCAAGGTCATCAAATCCATCGCGACTTGTTCTTCTATTAACCCTATCTCATCCTCATTAGCTTCCTCGTGATCATGATGTTGATAAATATTTGCAATCGTCTGAGGAATACGAAGGGGTATGTCAATGATGATTGAGATATTGTTAGATGTATCATTTTCTTGAACAATCAACAAGGCCTTATCATTAATGTCTTGAACCATTTCTTGTTGATACATGAGAGGAACATATAAGTATTCAACCATTTGATTGAACTTAGAGGACCATGTTTCATGTTCTTCTATGTCAAAACACAATCTTCTTGTGTTCTCATAGATAAAATATGTTCGATCATAAAACCTCCAATTACCATCCTGTGTGAAATAGTAATTAAGATACACTTTTCGAATTCCACATAGAATGAAAAGTTTTCCCTTTGACAAATTTTTATCATCATTCTCCATGAGGTTCTTTTGATGTTCAATTGTCAAACAAAAAGGATTTCTATTCATCGTACGATTCAAGTTAGAAGAGCTAAACTTAGTGAATTTATTGGGAAAGAAGGAAAAGAGTGAGCAATGTTTAGATTAAAAAGACATTATATAGATGTCTATATTTATATATCATTAATGAAGGAATCTAAAAATCTATAAATTATAAGGGAAAAATGGAAATAACATTAATTTTCTAATTCTTTGTATGTTAATTGTAAAGTCATAGTAGCATAAGTGGTAAATTGTATTAAATAGAACTTTCATTTTTCTCTCAAAATTTAATCATGGCAACAAAGAGGGAAAATATATTAATTGTGGAGATATAAACAAAATCAGTCAAGATTTTACTTTGAAATTACTTTTGTGATGTGCAAACAAATTTAAGTAGCTAAAATATGTTGGAAACTCAATAAAATTTATAAGTTAAATGATCCCTTAACATTTAGGAGTATGCATCTACATTTTTATTCTTCAATATATCATAGTTTTCTTAATAATCATTATGTATGAAGTATATTGAGGTTTGATTATTTTAGGCCCAAATATGTAACACCCTAGAAACTGAAAATCTAGATCAAATAGTGAAGACCTGTCGATAGATTTTTAGGGATATTTTGGTATTTTGGCATTCTTTTGATTCCTAGACTAAAACCTCTACCATCACACCAAACACTTAGAATTATTAGACAATGCGATCAAACTTCTCTAAAACAAGAACTAGGGTTTTTTATCTTCAAGTTTCAGTTTAACGAGTCAAGCTAGGATTTCCATTTTAGGTATGTGTTATTTCATCAATGAGTGTCCTTTCACCCATGGAGTCTCAAAGTAAACCTATTTTTTAAATTCACGATTATCACAAAAATCAGGTTTCTTATATAAAACATGATTTTTCATTATTTTGATCATTCTTCTTCATGGATAGTTTGAGCTTGCAGTTTCATCTATAAAATCAGTATTTCTAGATAATATTTTGTATGAACTTACCAGTATTCATGAGTTACTCAAATATCCATATTTAACATTTGTTATATAATACTTATTTGTCACGATATCTAAAGTACACCTTAGACGTTACATGAAGAAAAGGATCTCATGAGGCCCTAAACAAACCACTTGATATAAGAATGACACTATGAATATCAAATAAAGAGATTTCAACATAAGAATGAAGTATAAGTCTCAGAATTCTTTCAACTCATACTTAAGGAAATATAAAAAGATTACATGACTAAAATAATGTAGAAATCAACTATGTCTATCAAAGCCTCTACTACAATACATATGGTTAAGCCACAAACAAAGTTTGAAAATTGAAAGGACGTCAAAAGTAATAAAATGACCATAGTCTTGTCTTCGAACCATGAGGACTCACCAATCCAAGTGCTAAGTGGAGCAATCCAACCAGCCACGACTAGCTAGAGGAGCGTCACATCCTATATGACAAAATAACATAAGCACAATATGCATCAATACTTTGAATATATTGAATATATGAAACATGTGTAAACGTAAACGTTATAATATAGTGAGTTCAAAATATGATAATACATTACCAAGTAAAGTGTAGTAAAGCTAGTCAAGCCAAAATCATGGATCATGGAACAAGGTCAATGCAACATTTGAAAAGTCATAAGAAAGCTTAAATCAAATCAATGAGGAAGTTATTGAAACACATGAAGAAGAGAAAACATAGTTCTTTTGTGAGATATTTTACCACTAACCAGCATAAATAGTGTGAGCTATATATATATACACACATGTACCTCTGCGTTTGAAGGCTAGCTCTTGCTTCAGATCACTCCTTATTTTGTTCAAGGAGGAGATATCTTGGCTTGTTTAAAAAATAATTGTAACCGTGATGAAAAAACATAGAACATAGTTTATACATAAATTAAAACAAACATAAAGCTGATACAAGACTCCAAAAGGATAAATCATGAGTCTCAACTTATTTAATGTGTTAACTGGCTACTAAAGGTCAATAATACAAGATTATTAATTTTGTTTTTGACACTCAAATCCTTAATTAATATCACTTAATTACTCCATCATAATTTCATCTTCAAGCACAACTTCACTTAAGAGTTTTTGCTTCCCCACCCAAAGTTGGTTCTAACTTCATTTGAAATTTTGTCAAATACACAAATCTTAGTGCATAGGCACTTTCTTTGAAGTTTGCTACAATGTCCACCTTCAAACTCCTCTTTGAGACAAGATTTTCTACATGATGAGTCGGTAAAACACAATCCTTTGAAGGTTTGGCTTGTTGATTTACACATAGGCTGAGCTTGCACGTCTACAATCATTCAAAAATAGTTACAATATTATAATAAGAGACATAAACGAAAGAAACGTTGTTCGTGTAATATTTAAAGGAATGTAAACAAACAAATTATTTCAAGAGTTCTCATAGTTGTTAAACGTATAGCAAATAACTTTAAAGCATGTATCAAATCACAATTCTTTAAGCTTTATTTGAACGGTTCGCAACCTATTACATTTTTTATTGTTATGATTTCATAACAGAATTAGAGATCTTAACTGTGTGTCAAGTCAAACTGATTCATATAAATTGAGACGGGGTGAGTAGTTAATATTTTGACCAAAATTTTTTTGAGTAACTTTACACATTATTTAAGAGGAATAAATGATGAATACAAACCATAGGAAACAAAGAGCATCATTGCCAAGACCACAAATGTCATGAAGCAAATGAAACGAGCCATAGTTTCTTTTAATGAGTGAAAAAGATTGGAAATGTTTTTTTAAAAAAATAATAAGAAAGAATGCAATTTAGAGTTGTGAATAAACAAGTAACTCAATGGAGGTAATTTATAGGCAGTGAAATTATAAGAGTATGCCAATAATATGTGAAGCAATGGTTGTTGGTAGGTCATAAATACAATAAACATGTTCTTATTTCATTTCTTTTCTTTTTTTAAAAATGGGGAGTTCAGTAGAGAATTGAATCTCTCCATCGATAAAGAAAGATTTCAAATTATAGTTCGAACCTCTTTCCATGAATACGAATTTGATCGTGCTCTAATATGATTGTCAAATATTTAGTGCAAAAATCAAAAAAAAAATAATGTTCCTCCTAAAAATAATTATAGAGTGTTGTTAATTTTAGTGTCAGTGTCTTTTGGGGAATTGAGCCCTTGAGTTTGAAGTGTAAGTGAAATAAGGTTAAGAGTTAATTATGGTTAACATTTGGAGTTTAGAAGCTTAGATCGGAATTCCGATGATTTCATTGGATTAAGGGATGAGTCTAGGACAAAGTGAGGCCTAGGTTGAATTTTTAGAGGTTCCGAGGGCGGTTTGGTATATTCAAATGAAAATTAGTTTATTGTGACTTTTATAAATTTCGGGTCAAAAATACTTCGAATCGGTGTTTCGATAGTTCATGGAGTTCGGAACGTCGAAATTAGTAGAGTAGCATACTTGATTTGTGTGATCAGGCTTTTCAATGAATCTGGAGGGTCGTTTTCATGTTTTTGAGTGAGTCTTGGTGTTGTTGTGTGTGATGATGTTTGTTGCCCATTACTTTGTTCATTGCGATCGCGGGACTCACTCTCGTGATCGCATAATGGTATTTTGTTTATCGTTATCATGTGGGTTATGTCGTGATCGCGTAGAGTTCGTGCTCTGACCATCGCGGTCGCATGGCTTGTGTGGTGATCGCAATTGTCAAATTAAATGAGTTGATCACTATACTCATTGTGATTGCGTAACCTTGGAGTCGCAATGGCAATGAATTGTTTTTACCATTGTTTTTTTTTTCAAAAGTCGGGGTCTCATCTCCATTTCATCATTTTTTTTAAAAAAAATGGGAGCTAGGTAAAGGCAATTTCAAAGAATATTTTTTGAGATAAATCATTTGGGTATGTGTTTGTGATCCTAAATCCTCATTTCCCAATTATAATTTGTGATTTGAACATCAAATTCTTTGTTTTGAACTTCAAAGTTTTTGAGGATTTTTTTTTTTCAATAACTTGAACTTAAAAAAAATGTCTAAAGTTGGGCCAAGCCAAGGACACAATTTCAGTCATAAAGTTTTCTTCAAACAGAAATTGTTTTATCTTTCATTTTATTTTTCTAATTTTGGCATGACCATAACACTAGATATAAATCTAGCCATACGAATTCATGATATTTTCTTATTTTTGCATGACCATAAGACCTCACCTGGACCATAAGCTTCTATTGTATTATATTTTTCTTTTTATTGAATTAAGCACAAACAAATATACTAGTTACCATAAGGTTGGGAACATTTAAATACCTATATATTATAAAGGGAAACTTTCATATAGCTAGTTAAAAATAATTAATTACTCTCCATTAGCTATAGTTTGATAATTACAATTTGTAGCTACATGTTATATGGAGTAGGGAGAAGAGCGAGACTGGCAGAGAGAGGGGGAAAAGAGTGGAGAAAGGTGAATTGTATATATATATTTGTTAGATAACTGTATACTATACACATATATTTGTATATATGGCAAGATAGATTGGGAGAAGGAGGAGAGAGGAGAGCGAGACTAGGAGAGACCCAAGCAAGACTGCGACAGAGAGGAGAGACGTAAGCGAGATCGAGAGAGGCAAGCGAGAGAGGACATAGAGTGGGAGAGAGGTGAATTGTATATGTATATAATTATATATAACTGTACATTATACATATACATTTGTATAAATGGCAAGCGAGATTGAGAGAGCGAGGAGAGAAGCGAGCGAGATTGAGAGAGGAGGAGAGAGGCGAGCGAGAGAGGGAAGAGAGTTGAATTGTATATGTATATAGGTTAAGAAATTGTATGTTATACATATTTAGTTGTATATCCTGGCAAATTATACATATACAAACTTAACTAACTATACAAACTCGAAATCAACCCACGTTATTAATGTATAATGTTAGTCGCGAATGGTAATTATAGCAAACTATAACTATGATGAATAATTAAATAGTATAAGTTTGCATAGCCGCGTAATTTTCCCTATTATAAATCAGATTGCAATGATAAAGGGATAAATTTTATTATTTTTCCTAATTTTACAGTGAATGGTAAATTCGTAGCATAAATGGTAAATGATTTAGTTAACATATATTTAGCGATGTGTTCATTTTTTTTAAAAAAAAAATATAAAATAATTAGAGCAACAAAAGGTATATTTCTTAATGTCCTTTATTATACTTGAGTATTTACAAATAAAGAATTTCATTTACAAATAAAATTTATATTGTATTTTTTAATCATTTAAGGCGTAACTATAAAAACTAATAGAGCTTAAATAAAAATTTCTTGCATTTGTAACAACATCTTCAAAAACTAAATGAACACATTAAAATCTAATTAAAAATAGATGAACATTATTTTCAAAACAAACTTAATTATTTGATATAGGAAATATTAGAGGTAAGACCACAAGTCTTCCCTCTTATAATATTTTTTCTAACAGCGAATAAAGTAGTAGAGATCTATCTAACCCTTACCATATAAGTAACTTCTTCAAACAAAACAAAAAAAATAAGCCCTCCATGGGCATAGACTCGATCAAGTCGTTTATAGAATGCTGACGACTATTTTCCACTTAATAAGTAAAGGAGAGAGAGAAGAAAGGCTTAGTGAGAGCTTTATAAGGTCAACCATTATATAAGTAACTTTAATTTTCTTTATCAATTGGCATTCTAAAGCGACATAATGGACAAACATGATTTATTTCAAGCCATTGAATAATGCAATCTCCATGAAAAACATGCTTGCAATGCATACGAGTTAGTTCAACAATGTCATTTGTAATCAACTTGCCAAGACATATCATACAAGTTTCACCAAAACTCATGTCACCATTCAATGTCTCTACTTTCACCTTCTCAAGCCCTTCAATAGCATCCTTTGATGTTGGAACTACAGGCATAAATACACGTGTTTCGTCCAAGGTCATCAAATCCATCGCGATTTGTTCTTCTATTAACCCTAGCTCGTCCTCATTAGCTTCCTCGTGGTCATGACCTTGATAAATATTTGCAATTGTCTGAGGAATACGATGGGCTATGTCAATGATGATTGACATATTCTTAGATGTATCATTTTCTTGAACAATCAACAAGGCCTTATCCTTAATGTCTTGAACCATTTCTTGTTGATACATGAGAGGAACATATAAAGATTCAACCATTTGACTGAACTTAGAGGACCATGTTTCATGTTCTTCTATGTCAAAACATAATCTTCTCGTGTTTTCATAGATGAAATATGTTCGATCATAAAACCTCCAATTACCATCCTGTGTGAAATAGTAATTAAGATACACTTTTCGAATCCCACATAGAATGAAAAGTTTGCCCTTTGACAAATTTTGATCATCATTCTCTGGGAGGTCCTTTTGATGTTCAATTGTCCAACAATAAGGATTCCTAACCATCGTATGATTCAAGTTAGAAGAGATAGACTTAGTGAATTGATGGGGGAAAGGAAGCAAAGAGTGAGCAATGTTTAGATGAAAAAGACATTATATAGATGTATATATTTATATAATGAATCAAGGAATCTAAAAATCTATAAATCAAATCTAATTATAAGGGAAACATGGAAATAACATTAATTTTCTAATTTTTGGTATGTTGACTGTAAAGTCATAGTATTATAAGTGGTAAATTGCATTAAATACAACTTTCATTTTTCTCTCAAAATTTAATCAAGGCAACAAAGAGGAAAAATGTATTAATTGTGGAAATATAGACAAAATCTGTCAAGATTTTACTTTGAATTTTTTTTTTGTGACGTTCAAACAAATTTAAATAGCTAAAACATGTTGTTGGAAACTCAATATATAAATGTATAACTTAAATGATCCCTTAAAATTTAGGAGTATGCATCTACGTTTTTATTCTTAAAAATATCATAGTTTGTTTTCTTACTAAACATTATGTATGCTACATGTCACTAAGTTCGTTAACATATAATGGAAGTTTTATTACAAAAAATTCGATTATCAGGGATAAATAATTTCGTCATTTATAAATTATATTTTGTCACTAAAAATCTTGTGAGATGAAAAATAATTCGTCAATTAGTCGTCACTAAATGTGTGTGTCTAAAAGTAAACAAAGACAATTTAGTGCTTTGTCACTAAAAGTATTATATTAACTACCAAAAGAAAAATCGTCCCCAAATGCTTAGACATTTGTGACAATTTTATTTGTCATATAATTATGTTTATTTTTAGTTAGTAGTATGTTTTGTCACTAAAACGTTATCACTACCGACAAAATTATATCGTCGCTAATTATTTTACTTCAATCAGTGACGACGTCAATTATCTCTAAAGTTATATGTATTTTGTAGTTGAACAAAATCTAGTTTTGTCAATAATGACTATATTTTATATATACAAAAAATTATATTTTCTTTAACCTCTCCTTAGTAGGGCCCACATTATGCTTTGTTGGGAAATCGAACTCATAACCTTCAGGTTGGAAGTGAGAAGTTCTTACCATCTGATCAACTTTCTCTTATGTAGAGCCGTCAATATGGGCTAGGACTGTTGGGTCGGCCTGGCCTAATTCGAAATTTAATTGGGCTGGGCTACGATTTTTTGAAACTCATATGAGAAAAGAGTTTTTTAGCTCGGCCTGAATAAGCCTGGTGATTTGTGGGGTTTGTAGGCCAATAAAAATTGATTAAAAAATATAATATAATATTAAAATTTAAAATTAAAGATAGTCCAAACTCAAAACAATTAGTTTAATGTTTCTATTTAGATAATTTATACGTGTACTTTAAAAAAAACTTGATAAATATTATAAAGATAATTTTATTTGTTAGTTTGATTAAAAATTAGTAAAATTAACATCATGCTATATTGTTTTGTCGATATTTATGATAGTATTTTTAAATTATAATTTTTAATTTAATTTAATAATTCTAAAAATAATATAATTTTTTTAAAAAAATGGGCTGGACCAGCAAGTCTATAGCCCACGTACTTGTGGGTTGGGCCGGTCATTTTCTTGTCCACACCAAAAATTAGCTAGCCCCGCCTGGCCCGCGAAATGTCGAAGTTTGTATTGGTCAGCCCGAATTGGGTGACCTAGCCAATACTGACAGCTCTACTCTTATGTCACATTTTTATTTTTATTGTAATTTCATTCACTTCTTTCACATTAAACTTCGGTATATAACATATTATATGATTATTAATACATTTAAGCAAATGCATAAAATTTACCGTCCACACTTATTTCAAATGTAGATTATATTTTAAATATATTATATATTTTATAAAATACTTTTCAATATATTCAGTATGATTCGTCATTATAAATTTTAAAAATTATTTAGTACAATTATAAATTTATATAAAATTAAACTTTTGACTTTATTTTAAATAATTGAATAATCAGTTCAACTCGAGTAGTAAATCAATTGTTGTAAAAAAACATCAATACTCATAACTATAATACTTCATCATAATATATTGGAAAAATGTACAAGTACCCCCTAAGCTATAACAAACATCCCAAAGACACATTAACTAAACTAAAGTCCTATTACTCCCCTGAACTTTTTTTTTTGTAATTTTATACACCTTTTGTCTTACGTGGCACACTCCGTGACTCCACACGATTGAGGAATGTGAGAGATATTTGAAGGTCACGTAAGCCAAGAAGTTGCACAAAATTACAAAAAAAAAAAAGTTCAGGAGGTAATAGGACCTTAGAATAGTTAAGGTGTGTCTTTGGGATTTCGGTCATAGTCTAGCGGGGTACTTGTGCATTTTTACTAATATATAATTCTGGTTGGTTCATTTCTTTCATTTGTGCTTTCATTATTTAGTTTATTTCAATTTTCACACTGATGGAAAAAAGTTAAAAGAAATTCATGAAAAATTTCGCACCTTTGTGAAGTCTTATCTCTGTATAGTTGCTCTACCTACGTATGTGGAATTACTATTAAATATGTAATTATTTTTAAATAGAAGCAAATAGATCGACTTAGTCTATGAAGTTCACCAATCAGAAATCAGTAGACACACACAAAAATTACACCAAGACTTGAGAAATTATCTTTTTCTATTGTCTTTATCGACAAATGTGTATGAAATTAAAAAAAAATGTTAAACCAACAAATAGTAGCAATCTAGTGGTAGAACTATACACTACTCACGGTACTTATAACCTAGATTGTAGTTTTCAAATGATGCATTTTATAATCGCATTATTTATGAAAATTGATGAATTTTTTCATTTTTACAGAATCCATTGAATTCATCGGATTTAATATTTTCCCTCACCAATGAATGAATGGTCTCTGTCTATTTTTTATGAAGTACTTGTATTATTCTTTTTGTAAGTTGTCACTTGTGATTATGAAAAGCTGTAGCCAAAAAAATTAAATTTAGCTATGAATTTTTTTCATAGCAAATAGTTGAAATATTCACTACAAATTTTAAGTCGTCACTATTTAACACCTTACATATTTTGTGATAATTTTTTTGTTACTACTAAATCACACATTGATTAGAGAAAATAAAATCTTTGTCACCAATTATTTATATTATTAGCAACGAAAATAAATGTAAAATTTATAATATTTAACTACGAACTATAATTTGCCGATACTGTAACAAAATATTTTTTTGAATAAAATTTTTTTGTGTCCAAAAATTAAATTTTATGACAAAAAATAATTTGTCATGAATTAGATACACTATTAGTGACGAAATAATGTGCCACCGGTAACTTTAAATTTGTGAATAACACTAGTTAACAAATGACGCCAATAAATTTTTTAGTGGGAAATTTTAGTTGACAAAAATTTGCTAAAAGTGGGAATTTTGATCTTTGATCACTAAAAGTATGTATCTCATAAATTTAAGTACGAAAAATAAATTTAGGCACTAAACCGAATAATTAGTGATGAGTTTTATGTTGGAGCTAATAATTTCGAATCTATACGTCATATTTTATGAACTTACCAGTATTCATGAGCTACACAAATATCCATATTTGGCATTTTTTTATAGTACTTATGTACCACGATATCCAAAATACACCTTAGACGTGACATAGAGAAAAGGATCTCATGAGGCCCTAAACAAACCACTTGACATAAGAATGACACTATGAATATCAAATAAATATTTCAATATAAGAATAAAATAAAATTCTAAGAACTCTTTCATCTCATAATTAATGAAATACCAAGAGAGTACATGACTAAAATAATGCAAAAATTAACTATGTCTATCAAAGCCTCTACTTAGGGTGTGCATCGGTCGGTTCGGTTCGGTCTTATGTATTATCGGTTCATTTTATCAGTTTTTGATTTTTAAATATGCTAACCCGATAACAACCCAGTAAGATATTCTTTATCGGTTTTTGATTTATCGATTTTTGGTAGTTATCGATTCGGTTTCCTGTTTATCCAATAAGAAAATATCCATAAAATATTATATGACTTCTTACTTATCTAATTATAATACAAAGGTTAGAATTACATTCACCACCAAAACATAGTATGAGATTTTTTACGTTAATTAAATTACGGACCTTTACAAACTTGCAAATGCTACAACCTAAAATTACAAACAAAAACTAAAATCAAATAGTCCTACAAGACTAAAACTTAAATCAAAAGCTACAATTGCAAACCCTTACATTAGTTTTAAGGTTTTTAGTAAACAATAAAAACTAGTCAAGCGTCCTAGTGTGAAGTGGATAGTGTACTAATAATTTGATATAATTATAGTGTCTAGTGATATATTATATTATTAATATTTAGTTATTGGGGAGGGTAAAATAGTAAATTATTACCATCTTATTGGGTTATCGATTTACTCAATAATCCAACAGTAAAACCTGATACCGAACCAATAACCCAATAACTATTTTTTATAAACCCATTGAAAAATTCAATAATGCAATTACCAATAATAACAACCCAATAACATTTTTCTCGGTTTGATTCACCGGTCAGTTCGGTTTTCGCACACCCCTAGCCTCCACTATAATACATATGGTTAGGACAAACCCCTAAAATGACCATGGTTGTCACGTCTCGAGCCTACACCCTAGGCGGGACCGACACTCGAAAACTATTGTTGGCCCCTAAGCGAACCCCTGACCTGACTACTTAAATCAGCGGAAGACAAAATCTCAACTTTGACACGAGTAAAACATAAGAAAAGGAAATATGCATGTCATAACTTTGGACAAAATGGTACTTGAGTCTTAATAACTGAAAACAACTCCAACTGAAATACTTTATTCCATGAAGCCTCTAAACTGTCTATAGAGAAATGTTGGGACAGACCCCACAACATCCTAAAATCTAAGCTAATATAGAAATGAAAAGGATGTCCTCCAGAATGCAAGGAGGCTCACCACAAACTCTGAAGCTCAATCTGGAATCAACGAAGTG